TGACTAACGTTAGATGTTTTTTTAAGGGAAAAGGGTCTGATATACCCCCAACTTTGTCATTTAAAGCTGATATACCCTTCATTATGAAAGTGGCTTATATATTCCCCTACTATTATACAAATGGCTCACATATACCATTTTTCTCTAACGGAAGTGAAAAAAATAATTTTTATTTTATTTTTTTAATATGTTTTTTTAAAATAAAATATAATCTCATATGGGTGTATTTAATCCTCCTCACACACAATTTTTTTTGACTTTTTTTTTGTTTCAATGACTAATTTAAAGTTATTATTTTGATGGTCAAATTTATTTATGTTTCACTAATTTTCTTGTAAAATTTATCATAGATGACCCATTTTTTTCAAATACAAAAACTAAATAACAATATAGTCGAAAAATAGTTTTAAATTATAATATAGCCACAAAAAATTAGTTTTAAAATTTTCTCTTTACACTAATTAAGGAACGAAAGAAAATAATAAAATAAGAATAAGAAACTCAAATAATGATAATCAAAGACGTCAAAAAATAATTTATGTATAAAAAAGATTAAAATATACCTTGAACTCTGCTAGAAGTTCATATTTACACCTACATAATTTTTTTTTTAAGAAAAAGTCAATAACATAAATTTAAAACTATTTTTTCACTTCCATTAAATTAAGGGTATATGCGAGCTCATTTTGTAACGGTAGGGGTATATGTGAGCCATTTGTATAACAGTTGGGTATAGATGGGTCACTTTCATAACGAGAGGCGTATCAGCTTCAAATGACAAAGTTGAGGGGTATATCAGACCATTTTCCCATTTTTTAACACTAAATTTTGAAAATTTGAAATATCATTTTGGATTTACAAATCATCAATTTTTATTGTAATATGCAAAAAAAAAGATTCAATGCCGATGATTCTTTTCTGGACAATGATATATCTACTAGAGACAAAAGCTCGGACAAGCTCGGACTCAATTGTCACGATCTGAGACTACCCCTAGTCGTAACATGGTGCTTGGAGTCACTAGTGATCCCAAGTTAACCCCTGGTCTGCCCTGACACTAAGATTCATAGTGTCTGATTGACTTAGGCTTTTGGGGAAAGTTAATACTCATGGGTTGGAGTTATGGAATAAGGAAAAGACAAAACACCCCTCCTAGAACATTAAAAAAAAAAAAAAAGAACTAAAAGAATTCCGAAGAAATGTGCGCGGTTGCGCAGCTGAAAACTATTTCACGTGATACTTCATGCAACGTTAACAGTAGCACTGTCTTTGCCGCGCAGCCGCGCGGGGAACGTCTACTTCACGCGATGGATCACGCAGAATATATAGTGCATAGTAAAATGGGCATAACTTTTATCACACAACTTGGATTGACAAACGGTCGAATGCGTTGAAAAGAAGGCGTCACAACATTTCATTTTCTTGGTATTAGGCCACAAAAACTCTTCATACTTTAGGAGTCCCTTATAACCTTGTTCACATTCAATATCTTTTACACACTTATTATTAGACTTTTACACCAAGTCAAACTTAGATTTGTCGAGTTTAAATCGATACACATAGGGAGAATGGTTCATACCTTTACTTAAAAGTTGCGAGATATTACAATAGCTCCCTTTTGAAATATTCATCCTCGAATGAAGTCTAATCAAGCTGGATAGAGCTGGAATCCCAAAACTGACTACTAAATACTAAAAATTGGCGGAGTGGCTGACTCCGGACTGAGGCATGAAGACTGCACTTATTTCATGAACATGCAAGCATACTAATACTCGGATAACTTAGAGATATGAAGCTGAATGGATTATATGGTGAAACTATTACCTCACGCTGGAACTGTAGTGGAAGGAAAGAGGCAGGGTTACTTGGCCATCATATTTGTCTCTACTTCCCAAGTAGCTTCCTCAACTAATTGATTCCTCCAAAGAACTTTCACTAAGGCGACTTCTTTATTTCTCAACTTACGAACCTATTGATCAAGAATTTCAACCGGAACTTTTTCATAAGAGACTGTCTTTAACACCCGCACTCTCTAAAGGTTCATATATTAATATGTGAGTCTATAAAATAGAAATTACTGATTTGTGGGGTTTCACTTATGAAGTATTTCAATTGGTCCATCAAAATTTAAATTCCACTTGGTGTGGTTGACCTTAGCACGGCGCTTCAAAGTATTGATGTGAAGACTAAAGAGTAGGGGATCCCTTCAATCTGTCTTTGTTCCTCTCTGCAATTGCTCTTTGGAGACTCTTCCCCTCCTCTCTCTGTAAGGAATTTTCAAGCTTTGCCTTTGTTACTGTTTGATTGTTTGCAAGTATGCCTATCATTTCTGATTAGCACAATGTTTCAGTTCAAAACTTTCTTCGTATTCCGTATGGGATACAGTTAATTAGTCGTCACTTGTTATCTGCTGAAATTAATTGATTATGTATGATGTCACAAGATTGTAAATTAGGAGAATATATAACTAGTGACAGATAGGCAAGTATAATGGTTGGTGATTTTTTCCTACTCCATACAAGATTTTCTGTTGTTATATACAGTTACTCACCAAAATAGGCAAATATCTAGGGTGTGTTTGGTATGAAGGAAAATGTTTTCCTGGAAAACAAGTTGATTTTTGACTTATTTTCTCATGTTTGGTTGGTGAGTAGAAAATATTTTCCTGAAAAGATTTTAGTGTTTGATTTATGAATGAAAAATATTTTTGAGAAATATCTTTTATTTTTACTAGAGTAGAAAATAATTTTTGAAATTGAAAATAGTTTTTAAAAACAAACTTAAATTTTTTTTGGGGGGTGGGGGGTGGTAGGGGGTGGGTGAAGGGGGGGGGTCGAGGGTAAGGGTGAAAAATTGAAATTTTGAAGTTGAAAATATTTTTGAAAAATAAACTTAAAATTATTATTTTTTTGGGGGGGGAAGGTAGGGGGTGGGTGGGTGGGGGTTCTAGGGGTGAAAAAATGAAATTTTGAAATTAAAAATATTTTTTAAAAACAAACTTAAATTTTTTGTGGGGGGGGGCTGGTGGGGGTGGGTGGGTGGGGGGGCTGGGTAGGAGGTGGGTGGGGGGGTCAAGGGTAGGATGAAAAAATGAAATTTTGAAGTTGAGAATATTTTTTAAAAACAAACTTAATTTTTTTTTGGGGGGTTGGTGGGGGGTCGAGGGTAGGATGAAAAAATGAAATTTTGAATTTGTAAATATTTTTTAAAAACAAAATCAATTTTTTTTTGGGGGGTGGGGGGGTGGGTGATCGAGGATCGGGATGAAAAAATAAAAATTTGAAGTTGAAAATATTTTTTAAAAACAAACTTAAATTTTTTTCTTTTTGAAGGGGGTTGGGGGCTGATAGGGGGAGTTGATGTGGGGGGGGGGGGGGGGGGGGGGCGGGCGAGGGTAGTGGGTGGGGGGTAAAAAATAAAAAATTGAAATTAGAAATATCTTTTAAAAACAAATTTTAATATTTTTTTAGGAGGGGGTGGTGGTAGGGGTGAGGGTGGGTAAAAAAATTGAATTTAAAAACAAGCTTTAAAATTTTATTTTATTTTGGGGGGGGCGTTGGTTTGAGGGTAGGGACAAAATAAATTGATTTTTTCAACAAAAAAAATAATCATAATTTGAAGTTGGAAGAGAGTTTTGAAAAAAAATTTCCCTAAGTTTAGAAGGAAAGTCATTTTCCTTAAATTTGAGGAAAATGAGTTGATTTGGAAAACATTTTCCAAAACATTTAGCCCAACCAAACATGAGAAAATTGGAAAACATAAAAAACGTTGATGTTTTTAAGTTAGGATTGTGATCTATTTGATGAATTCTTGAACATTTTCATTGTATTGCCATTGATGCATCTAGTACTCATAGTTCAAACTAAGACTTCAACCTTATGTGTGCTCTGCTGCATTTCTTGATCTAACTGGAGAAAGTATTACCTTTTATAGTACATGCCCTCATCGAATTCAGTTCCCGTTGGAATATTTTCAATTAGCAACTTGTATTTAACTGGTATTTGGGTCAAAGGATTATTGAGATTCCAAATTTCCAAAATTTTGTAGGAAATGGGAGATTCATCTACCGAAATATATAAAGACGACACATCTAAAAAAATTCTGAACTTGATCGTATCCAATAGGTTTAACTCCATTAGGAAAACCATAACAATTTAGCCAACTGATTAGCAAGCATCATCAATATCATACGGGATATTGAGATGAGTTTTCCGTGTTTATAGAACTATCCATGCTTTCATGTCTTAAGCTAAATCCCATACAACAACAATCTGTATCAAGCCTTACACTTAAACCACATAATATGTCTCAACACCAAGTATATAGAATCAGCTCACAGTACAACTGAGCATAAAATTTGGGGTACAACCCCAACAAAATCATACAATCCATAAAATGGATGCTATATTACTATGACAATCCAAGGGGGTCGATAGAGTGAGTGCAGAGTTCAATACAAAATGACTAAAACCAAAAAAATCTCAATGGGTGCACATGAAAAGTGTGGCTTACCAAGTTAGCCATCTCAAAGCTAACAATGCTTCTGCTCTTGTGTGGCATCTCAAGATCTGGATCGAACTTGATTTTTTAAGTGTAAACTTGATTTCTTACCTCGAAATCTTATGGGAAATCTTGATGGGATGTTAGCCCCTTCAATCCCTCTCCACAATTCGGTGAGCAAGAGCTTATTTTATTGTTGTTTCTTTAGCAAAAGCAATTCTCTTTCCTGTGGATCTTCCTCCAACAGAATCAATGTCATCAGATCTAGCTTTACTCTCTCATTTTCTCGCTTAGGCTACCGCTCTGTGTGTTAGTATCGTAAACTTTGCAGCCACTGCTGGAAGCTGTGTCTAGGGGATAAATCCTAATTGATATGGATGGTGTGAGTCAAAGGTGTTTTTCCCATCCTTATGTGGTGTTATCATTGAGAAAATAGCTGGGAGTCGTGGTTTTTATACTGGAGGGTCCGGACACACTTCAAATCCCCCAAGTATCCTCAAGCTTTGCCGCCAGAAGCCTTTGACACGATGCATCAAGCTTTCTATAGAGTTTCTTGGCCAAAATGGTCTCCGACGCATCTCACCAACATTTTCTATTGCGTACAAGGGTTATCCTCAGTAGTGTGCACCTTCACTAAATGCTCATACCTTAATCCAAATTGCAAACTGGCTGAACAGTTAGATACTAGACTTCAAAGTTACAAGTTTTCTTCAAAAATCATTATCAATCCTTTATAGATTAAGACTTGTGCATCTTTAAAGTTATGGTATGTTTCACACTTTCACTTGTTACCACAAGTCCAAGGTTCCAACTCCTCTTGTTTCCAGAGCACCCTTACCTTAATATAAATAACAACCAACACATCAAGCACATATACTTTCTCATGTCGTATATATATCTAGCCAAGAAATGGGACATACTGTTACATTGGGATTCACTTATTTGTTTTTTAAGATTATAAGTGTTAAAATGTAATTCGTGTGCCTTGCATCATTTTTTTCTTTTTCAGCTTGGTGTTGGTTAGCACTCATTTTATTTGACTTCATATTTTTCATCTTAAAAGCCAAAGGAGAATGGAGAAACCTGTGGTAATACTCATTTTTACAACTGTAATTATGAGTCTTGAATGCTTCGTACAATCAGATGCCTCTACACATCAATATAAAAGTGGAGACGATGTCCCTTTCTATGCAAACAAGGTTGGCCCATTCTCTAATCCCAGGTAGATGCTTTAAACATTTCAATCACTATGTGTTTGATGCTTTTCTGTTATGTCTTTCAAGAAATGCCATCCATTCTTCAGTTAGTGTCAGGTATATAATTTCATTAATTGGTTAGTTAACAAAACAACAACATACCCAATGTATTCCGACAAGTGGGGTTAAAAGAATCACTTCATCAACACTTCAGTATCACGTAAAACAAGGAAGTTCCTGTCCCTTTCCCCAAGAAGTACCCTGTCCATGTAGTTTCTATTTGAAGACACTTTCTTCATAGCTGCATACATATTAACAGATCATACTTCAATTGTTTTCTGATCGATCAATTTTATTACTTTCTGCTTTAGGTGAATGGTTAGCTTGGTGAAGCAGATGTCAAATTTATTTTCTACCTGATTATAAATCTGATAAAACCCTTGGAACTGGTCAATAGAAAACGATAATATAGTTTGATGAATCAGGCATATCTCTTTGTGGGTTAAACTAAGGTGGTTATCAAAGGCCTTAGACAATCTTGTTAGGCATTTTAATGAAGCAAGTAAAGTGAAACATTTCTCTTATGTTTCTTACTGTTTTTCTTTGCTTCCATAATGTTTTTCATTTTTCCTATTGCAGTGAAACTTATGCTTATTTCGATCTTCCATTTTGTCAACCAGGTTTTCTTCTTCACTTTTATTAAGTCCTTGATTGTCTATTACTTTGAATAAGGATCACTATTCTTCTAGCACATTAATCTTTTTCTTTTCTTACCTTTTTGTTTTTGTCAATCTTCTCTTAGGTTTTCCTGTTAATCTTATTGGTTATCTATTGTGCTGAAACATTATCAGATAATTTGGAAAAGAAGAAAGAATCGTTTGGTGAAGCGTTGAATGGAGATCGCCTTACATTTGCTCCATATAAGCTCGAGTTTTTAGCGGACAAAGATGCCAAAGTTATATGTAAGAAAAGGCTGACAAAGGAGGAAGTTGCACAATTCAGAACCACTGTTGCACTAGATTACTACGTCCAGATGTACTATGATGACTTGCCAATATGGGCGTTCCTTGGGATGGTCGAAAAGGACGGAATTGATGACCCTAATGAGTACAGATATCACATTTATACATTTTATCAATTTGAAATTTACTACCACAAGGACCATGTTATTGAAATCCAAGTTAGAGTCAATCCATCTTTTACAGTTGATGTAACAAATGATGAGGAAGTTGATGTAGAATTCCTGTACACAGTGGTGTGGAAGGAAACTAACACCCCATTTGAAAAGAGAATGGACAAATACACGAGCTCTTCTTCTCTGCCCCATCACTTAGAAATTCACTGGTTCTCCATTTTAAACTCATGTGTGACAATCTTCATCTTGATGTCATGTATGGGAGCAATTTACTTGCGAGTCCTGAGGAAAGATATTTATAAGTAAGAAGATATACCATTTTGTTCTTTTAAGTATGATATGGTTTGACCTTAGTATCAGACTAAAGATACTCCTTTTTCGTCAATCTTGTAAAGTCTTGCACAGGATGAAGAATTTTCTGATAACCAAGAAGAAACTGGGTGGAAAAGCCTCCACGGCGATGTCTTCCGGTACCCAAAGTGCAAGTATTTGCTTTCTTCAGCACTTGGTTGTGGAACCCAGATGTTGGCAGTGTCAGTAATTGTTGATATCATCTTGTTTAAATAAGAAGTAAAAATCCAGCATGAACTATTTGTGAAGATTCTTTCTTGATCATGTTTCTGCAGCGTGGTGGTCATTCTATGTTTAGGCGTGCTTGGTGTTTTTCAACCGTATGATCGAGGAGTTTTGCCCACTACTTTGGTCATAATATATGCAATAACTTCTGCAGTTGCTGGATTTTCGGCTGTATCTTTTTATCATCAGCTTGAAGGAAGCAACTCGGTATGATATGCAGGATTCTTGCTACCTTAAACTCCTCTCTCAAATTGAGCTCTTAAGAGAATATTGTACAGATAACCTTATTAACTTGTTTTTGGCATGACAGCTAAGAGTTCTATTACTGACGGGAGGAATATTCTCTTGCCCCTTGTTGCTAACCTTTTTCTTCCTTAATACTGTTGCATTCAACTATGGGTCTACTGCAACACTTCCTTTGGGCACAATTGTGGTTATACTTCTCCTCTTGGTTTTGCTAGCATTACCGTCGCTTGTGTTAGGTGCGATTTCTGGGAAGAGAATAAGGTCTGAGTTTCAAGCTCCTTGTCACACCACAAAGTGTCCTCGTGAGGTTCCCCCACAGCGTTGGTACAGGCGTGTCATAACCCAAATGGCAATGGCAGGACTTTTGTATTTTGCTGTCATCTATATTCAGCTATATTACATATTTGCAAGTGTTTGGGGTTACAGGATATACACAATATATAGCATTCTTTTTGTTGTGTTCATTCTCCTTCTGATTACAACTGCTCTCATCTCTATTGCTATGACATACATCCAACTTGCCGCAGAAGATCATGAATGGTGGTGGAGGTGCGACTTTTCTCATCTTATAACTATGATGCTTTTGTTACTGTATATTGCTTTTCTTTCATAAGGTGTAAATTATCATTATCTCCTATCCAAGTATCCAAAGCAGATTGATTTGCTATTCTTGGAAATAAGTTGGTGGGAGAATTTCCACATCTTTGTTTTCCTGAATTCTTTGTGTTGCCGTTTAGTTGGTTCTTGTCTACGTTTTCCAGTTTATGACCATTAGACAGTCAATGCTCTTTAAACAAGTTCTGCTTTCATGTTTTTTGTTAAATGTGCAAATTCATATTCTAAGAATTTTTTCTTCTCTATTTATCAGTCAGTAAGGATCAAAAGTTTAGCTTGAAAGGCTTGTGTTCAATTCTTTGTCACCAGTTCTCTTTGTGGGTGATCCATAAATCTAACTTAAGTTCTCATTCAGGCCTGTGGCATGCCATGGCCCTGGACTGCTGGTAATCTCCCCTTAAAACTTTTTTTGAACTGAGAAATTCTTTAGTGGCAGTAGCACACGGGCTGAAACTCGATGAATAGTAGCTAGGCCCATCCTTTAGCCTTCTCCACTGAACTACCAGATTTTTGTCTGTGGTAGAGTTTGATCCATGACGTGTCCCTCACCCACACGTCATGTGCTGCGCTCTTACCACTAGACAAAAGACCCATGGACCCTCACTTAAACTTTTAGTTACCAAAACGGAATAAGAACTGTAAGATCCTCATGCTATTTAGTTTAGTTTGTGATTCTTCCCAGTCTTAATTAACAGGAGAGTGTCCTAATCTTCATTTGCTTGTATTTTTTTTCCCTCCAAAAATACAGCTATCGAGGTTTGAACCCCCTTCCTCTCTTAAAGAATTGAGGGGCTTAACCAGCATATTAATAAGCTCTCTGTCTTCATTTGCTTTTATGCTTTTTAAAGATGTGAATCGATGTTTCTAAGTAATCATATGTTGAAGTCACCCTGAATCTCTACCTTTCTGCTATGGTTGTACAAGAGGTGCTGATATCTTGGCTTACCTTATAGTGGTTCTTGAGGATATCCTTAATTTAGCCATCTCCGCCATTTAGCTTATTGGAGAGCATAGCCTTAACTTTGCACTACAGGAATTCCCTGCTAGTTCCACGAGGACAGTAGGGCACTGAGTTTATCTGGTCTTGCAAGCTCTTTGCGAGAGGATTGTCTTAGTCACCTATAAATGTCTGATTGCTAAGCCATTGAAATATTTTGCTATGTCTTTCTAGTTGACTAATTGCTCACTTGAAACAGGTCTTTTCTTTGTGGTGGATCGACTGGCTTGTACTTATTTGGTTATTCCATCTACTATTACTTTTCACGGTCAGACATGAACGGTTTCATGCAAACCTCATTCTTCTTTGGATATATGGCTTGTGTTAGTTATGGCGTCTTCCTCATGCTAGGCACTGTTGGCTTTCATGCCTGTTTGCTATTTGTCCGTCTTCTGTATGGCTCTATCAAATGTGAATAGCTGGTTGCTTTCAGGAACATCCTTAGCTTGTTTGGAAAAAGTATGTATTCATGCCATATTTAGGAGGCTGTTCTGATCAAAGGAGGTCACAATGTTCCTTTAACGTAACAACAAAGAGATTTTCTTATTCAAAGTTTCATCAATGTTACTTTTTGTTACAATTTACTAGCTTATAGTCTAGTACATCATTATTATATGAATATATGAGAGATTTTGATTTTTACACACAAAAAAAGATCGGTCATGTTTTTGTTCTCAAGAGATCTCATATCCTTGGGGTATCTTTATAATAAAATTGACAGAATACTAAAATTATAGCCAAAAAAATTGCTATAATTTTAAGCTTCTAAATCTAAAAAAAAAACTCAAAATTTGTGAATACTAATACTTATAGCATAAACACTCTTTTGACATGATAAAAGTATCAAGTTTCATATTTAAATGCTTTATAGCTTCTAGTTAGAGTAATTAAAGTTTTGACAAGAAAAATAATTCAATGACTTGGCTATTTTGGAATGTTATTAAGGATATATATATATATAATAAGAGGGATTCTAGAATCTTATTTCCAAGGTGCAATAGTAGGAAACTTTATTAGCGAATACAAGTTTCACTTTTGAGATATTTTAATAAATTATTGATATATTTTAAAATCATTTTTTAGTCAATAGTGAGAGTAGAACTATTTTTTAGTGCTATCCTTTTAATCAAAAAAATAAAAACAAAAACTATTTTTGGTGTGTCATTATTCTTTTTTTTTTTTTGGTTTAATTAATCGATAAGTTGTTTTTATAATTTCTTTCTTAAATATATTTACATATGCTTTTCGAATTTCAATTCTTTGATATTTTTTATTCTTTTTGGTATTAAGTCAATTCTCTCCGTGAGAGGGTAAGGCTAATAAACACGTGATCTGTTAATGGTAAATTTACAATTTATATGCTTATTAGCATGTTAGTTCTATTTTTTTAGTGACATTTATATGGTACAATTTAAGTTTTCTTTTTTTAGAACAAATATTTTACTTAATGTAAGAATTATATATCCATCTAATTAGTATGAGTCCCAAGTAGCTCTTCGTCGTCCGGATATTTCAGTCATTCCACTTTTCTATTGTCCTAACAATATTGTACATTTGTCTTTTCTTTTATTTCCCTAACTAGTGAACTTAACCGCACTTCGTGCGATCATAAATAACTCGTTTAATTTGTCAAAAAAAGAATTAAAATAGTTGACTGCTAATAGTTTTGTGAAGGTTCTTTGTTATGTTTAATCCAAATATATCATATTTGAAGTCTTAATCAAGTTTATATAGTATTTAAGCTTTTGTATCGGTTGTAATTTTTTAAATCGCTTAAGCTAAGAGTTTACATTTTATGATCTCATCCTATAATTTTATTGGATATGTGTATCCCATGCTTTTATAATTTTAAACTATTTTGTTAAATCTATCTTTTATTCTTCGTGTGTTTTTTGTTTTGTTTGTATCTTTCTCGCAAAATTAAAGAATTTAAATCAAATAGACTTGTAAATTTAGAAAGCTCCGAACATCAAAATGCCATTATCCTCCTTGTTCATCAAATCAAAACAGTTTTAAAATATTTATTGTGGTTCAAGTAAAGATCAATTATAGTTTTATAAAATTACTCTTTTCCTCTAAATATTGTAGTCTCTTGCTACTTTCTTTTTTAATGTTCATATTCTTCGAAAGTGTAACATCTCGCAAATTGAAATAACTAGGAAGAAGTTAAGAATTGGAAATAGTCATTTTTGGAAAGAACATAAAAATATGGAAAATTTGTTAAATATGTTAAGTTGAGTTTTTGGTCAACTTCAAACGACTATAACTCCTAGCTCAAGATGAGTTAGCTGTGTTTTCAGATATCTTAGGAAAGATCTTGGAATAATCTTTCCAACGCCGCCAAGTTTACGCGATTCTGAATTCGTATGAGTGAGATATGCCCACTTGAAGTTGGGTTATTCAATTAAGGAAAGTCTAAACCGGATTTTGGAAGGGTATTTTAGTCTTTTCCTTTCCCAATTATTTTAATCCATTTTTAGGAGTTTAATTGGGGTCAAATCAGAATTTGGTCAGTTTAGAAAATTGAAAATTTATGCTAGGGCTTGGAGAAAGGAGAAAAGGCAAGATTCGTCAAGAACATTCAAGTTTGATTGTGGATTTCTCCAAAGATTCAATCCTACGAGGTATGTGAGATCACATAGCATTGGGTTAGTTCACCCATGCGCCAATCATGATTTATTTCAGAAAATTTAAGTCTTTGGAAGTGTAGAAATTGAATTCTTGATGGGTTTGTTGAAGTTGCTTTGAGTTCTTGATTCGTTGAAATTGTTGAGGAGTTGTTTGATCCAAATTCATGTAATTAGGTGTGATTTCGAGTTGAATCTTTCATACTTTGAACATATAATCGATTCTAAGTGTTTTGGGAAAGAACCAAGTGAAATTAGAGGGTTTAGAGATGAAAAACGAAGAAGAAAAGTCAAGGAGACCCTGGGTAGGGTCCTGGGGCACCGCCCCTCTCAGAGCCCCAAGAAGGGGTCTCTGAATTTTGACCTCTGGGGTGCCGCGCCAGCCAGAGCGCCCCAAGTCACTCTCTGAATTTCAAGGGTTGGTGCCCCGCGCCTCTCAGAGCGCCAGGGATGCCAGTTCTTCCCATTTCTCCCCCATCTTTCTGTGCTAGTTCCTTAGCAACGTACCTATGTTTTCTAGTTTATTCCAACACTCTAAGGTACGTCTAAACATCATGAAATCATCCATAAACATGAGATCATGAAACTTGAATCCATAATCCAATTCAAGGAGAGTTAAGATCAAAGTTAAGAGAAGTAAGAGTCAAGTCAAGAGGAGTTCCTTGAGTTTTCCAAAAGTCTTTTCCAAATGTTTTAACTTTGTTTTTAGACTTAAAGTTCAAGTTGAGCAAAGAGTAAAGAGTAAAGATTGAAGTTCATTTCTTCAAAGTATATGGGGACTATATGTGTTCCCAAAGAGTTTTAAATGTTTTCATATTTAAACAAGAAAAGGAAACCTTGATTTCCAAAGAGCCTTTGAGCTAGTTTCAGAAAAGAGTAAATGCTTTCACAATTAAGCATGAGAGGAAATTTCAAGATAGCCTTTGAGCTAAGTTTTTTGAGCAATTATCTCAAATCACAGAAAAAAGTATGTTTTTAAAACATAAGAGCTAGTATTATATTTGGGAGTAGTATTGAGCACCGATATGGGGGAGAATTCAGACTACTCCCAGCCCCCATAAACCATGTAGCCATCATGAGTAGAAAAGGGTCATACTTTTTAGATGATTCCTTAATGTTTTTTAGCATAAACTAGTGGATCCACTTAGTAGTCTGGTTCTATACCATCGGCAAGGTATAAGACGACCCTGGCAGCGTGAGGCAAAATGTTGTATCATCACAATAGCTCTTACGTGATGGTTGTCGGTTAGAGAAACTCCCACAGAAGAAATTGTATTCTTATATGCACAGTTTATTTGTAATTTTACATACATTTCAGAGTTATATTGTATCTTTGCATACACACAGAATTGACATCCATGTTTTAAAAGATTTTCTTTATATTGTGCTTGTCTTATGCTGCTTTATATTGACATGAGTTCAGTTAAGTTGAGATGAGTTGAGCCAGGTAAGTTCTTAAGTTCCTTTCAAGCTTATGTCTTGTTTTAGAATTCCCCTCGCATACTCGTACATTCAATGTACTGATGTCATTTGGCCTGCATCTTCTTATGATGCAGACACAGGTAACCAGGATCAGCGTCCAACGCATCGTTGATTCTAGTTAAGCTTCAGAGTCAATTGGTGAGCCTCCTTGCTTTCCGGAGGGCTCATTTGTTATACTTTGCTTTTTTTTAGTATTTCATTTGTTAGAATGATTGGGGGTCTTGTCCCGACATCCCTCCTTGTTTAAGAGGCTTCATAGACAGTCACTAGTTCAGTTGTCTTTACATTGTTATTTCTTATGTTAAGACTTGAGTTGCCACTTTGGCCAAGTTGAATGTTTGACCTTTAAACGTTCTAAGTTATCTTATTAAACAATTGATTAAAAATGCATTTGATCATTGTAATAATGCTTAGAGTCTTCTGCTGAGTAAGTTTGTCAGGCTAAGGATTTGCTTGGGGTCAGCAATGGTTCTCGAGTGTCAGTTCCGCACAGGGTGTAGGCTCAGGGCGTAACAGAAAGTTGTTATCCTTTCTTCAGTAATGATGAATTAACTCTCTTTTCACCTTTCACTAATCTTAGCTTGTGAAATATTTTGTAAATAACTTTCTATTTTGACTAATTTTTAATACAAATATAATATACTTATTGTTTATATAAAAAGAATAGATTAAGAGACATATAACCCCAATTACACAAAGAATATAAAGTATTTGAAGAAATTAATTATTTGAAACAATCTCTTTATACTTTATCAAAATGCATATAACAAATTTGAGAAAAACTTTTTAAACAAATTTTATCAAAATCCCCATAGCAAGAAGTTGAGTCTTTTTTTATACTTTTTTTAATCAAAACGTTTATTATTGTAGCATATGCATACAAATTATATTATTTATTTTGAGATGAGGAAAATATCAAATTTTATTAAGTTGTCATGTGCATTCAAAGGATAATCATACTTTGTCAATTCCTTTTTATTTTTTCAATTTGTAAATCAAATATGAATTTAGTAAATCATGATTATTATTTTTAAAGTTAGGATATTATCCAAACAAACAAAATGTGAGATTACTACATTTGAATTAATATTATAACCATAAATTTTATAACGTCTTAAAAGAGTAAAAGAGAATAGTAACAAAATTTGCATATATTAATAACGATAGTGTGTTCATCAAACTGAACTTAAATTCTCAAATATTGTCATATGTTCATCTTATCTTTCACCATAAACAATAAAAATGATTCACAAAAATATGCGAAGAATAAAAAGTATGGAAAAATCACCAACAATAATGAAGAAAATAAAACAGACAAGAAATAAAGAAGGAAAAACACTATAAATAAGAGACATCAACTAAACTAAAATAAAATAAATAATGTTACCTATCAAGTTTGAATTTTGAATTTGAATTCTCACAAACAACATAGGCATATACTCATCTTATCTTT